CTGGTAGTGCTCTGTGATTCTGTTGAAACACAGTTTGCAATCTTGTTCAATGTTTGCTACGACAGCCTGATAGAATAGAGACATCTGTGTTAATCCTGTGATAAAAAAACGGGACCATTACCTCAAATTTCTTCTTATATTCTTCACTAGTTTTCGATTTGACACTTTCATTAGCGTCATCATTTCTGTAAGTCGAAATACAATAGTAGGAATTTATAAAATAATAAGTTCATACTTACTCTAGTAGTGTGTACTTTGTTTCTTTGTAATTGATAGCACTTCTACCGGTTTTTAATCGACAGTTCATCTCTGAGATAAGAGTTGCGAGGCATGTTGGCGTCCTAAAATACACAATATTCAATAAACAAGAATGAACTTTTTCGTAGAACAGTTATATAGCGTAGATTTCGTTAAGGGCACCCCCGCTTTCCCCCACCAAAAACACTACGTAGGTCGAAGTTGAGTTTGACACATTCCTATGTAGTCCAGACTGTGCTCTTCAATTTGAGATCCAAGCGAATTCAAATGGATGTTCAGTCAAGAAGTTATGAATGTTCGGCGAAGGGGTCCGAAAACGGCTTCATTCAGCTAAAAATTCAAAATTTTCGAAAACGGAACGAAAAACTTTTGTCCATACGTGTGAAAGATAGAGCAGACTCTTCTGAATCGAACAAGACAAACTGCAGCCTCAGGCGACATAAGGGAACCAAAGCTAGAGTCATTTCGATTAGACGTACTGTTTAGCACCAACACGCACAGTATCGCTTTTCTCAAAAGCGCCTTTTATAATGAAAAATCGAAGTTTTCTCCTTTTTTCTTCCAAACGCTTCGACCGATTGAGCTGCAATTTTTTTATGGCAACTAGGACCAAATCGGCGTGTATTGTTTTTTTTCTGAAAAATATTGTTCTGGTGATTATGGCAGACTTTACAAAATTTACCCTAAGTAAAAAGCACGTTTTTTAGCAGGACTTCCAGTATTTTGGTTCTCCTAAGCGAATGAAACAGTATTTTTCAAAGAAAAAGAAATATACACCCGGATTTGGTTCCAGTTGAAATAAAAAGAAATTGAGCCATAAAAAATGAATGTTGAATGTTTGCGAGGAGGAAAACTTCAAGTCATTTTTGGAGCTTGCGTCTCCTATTTCTTATAGAAGGGAGTATCCGAGAATTCTAAGTCTATGACAACTTTTGCTCTGCTAGTCGAGATCTATCTACTCTGAAAGTTTCAAAATTTTCGGTAGAGCCATTCTTGAGAAACTCGGGAAAAGGGGGATGTTCTTAAGTAGGCACCGGCAAAAGCTTCTTGCATCCAACGCTTTCTAAGTTTTCTTGGTAAATTGTGAGTTTAATTTTCGTTGCGCAGAAAAAGCAGTCAGTACAGGAAATACTCAAGAAAAACATAAGAAAGGCCCATCTGTAGTATTCATAATTGACTGTCAGTTGTTTTCTCAGCGAAAATTAGATAAAACCGAATTTTAAGAAGTGGACCATAGCCCATGCTTAGTCCAGTAGTGTATAGCATCATCGTCACTCGTTGATTTGCGTCGTAAACTATCTAAAGAGTGAACCAGACAAGAGTGGCAACATTAATGAACTTTTCCATTGGTAGAGGTCTTTTCCTTCAGCAATACAAAGGGAAACAATTGTATTTATGGTAGACCAAAAGTATTGGAAAACACAAAACGGTTCGAATATACATTCCGGCATATTATTGTAGAACTTTTACAAACTTTTCTTGATGTTGTGCCTACCTGTGTCTGCTTCATTTTCACGATAGACATTTTTGGACGCACTTGGTGTTTTGACGCGCCAAAATTTCGTGTATTTGTATCGTGTTGGAACCATATAGGCTGTTGAATACCTGAACAACAAACAGCATGAATAACTAACATTGTCAGAATATACCACTTACGCTGAAAACGGTGTGACCCGAGCTGACATACAGCGGTCCAGCATGAGCAAATATTTCTGTGGGAAATGTTAAATTGCCACTTTCTTTAACATTAGCCACAAGCACGTTTGGATTTTTATCTAAATCGTCTAAAATAGAAGAAAAAGTCTTCTGAGAAAACAAATACAAGTAGACAAAATTTCCTACCAACAAGGATGCCATACATGAGACCACCAACTATAGGACATTGCTGACGAGATCTCTTCATATCCAAGTCCAGCTTTTCCATTGTCTTTTCCACCTAAAAACAATTCAAATTTATTTTGAAGAGGCGGTTATAAAAGCACAGCAATCTTACTCTGTCTATACCGTATTCTGTGTTATTTAATCCGTTGATTTGTAAAAATGCGGTACACTCTAAAAGACATTAACTTCTAATAATATAGCCAAATTACTTCATGAAATTCGTTACCTTTTTTCAATAGAAATCCTGCTAACGAATATTCACCATTCTCCGTTTTGCCAAAATACCTTGTCAATGAAACAGATGGTTGATAATTTTTCACCAAAGTAAATTGAGTAGTCTTCACAAGCTCCTCTTCCAGATCGTTCTCCACCACT